AGAGTAGATGGATAGAGCCAAAGGGGAGGAATTCAAGAGATTTCCAATGGATCTTTACCAAGTGCCCACATGCAACGACTAGCTTCCTAAAGGTGAAGGTGGACCAAGAGTGAAGGGGAATGTTAGACACTGTGAGCCAGAATCTCAGTGGCTTAAAGTAACCTATTCCCAGAGGGAAAGCATCGCCCCTTTAAACAAACAAAGGAGAGGTAGATTGCAGAGTAGAGCGAGCACTTTCCACAGGCGGATATGTGAGAAGGACAAAGCCATTGGATAAACTCTTGCACCCAAGGTTAGGCTCTTTCCAGACCCGTTGTCCCCATCTTTCAATGGCTTTAAAATCATCCCCTCTAGGACGAAAAAAGGCCACCAAAGAGGCTCGCAAGTTTGCAGCAAGGGGGGCTGAAACCTCGGCAGGCGTAAGGGGTATGAAGGGCGAACATAGGAGGGGAGGCGGGGGTGGTAGTAGCAAGGGGGGAGAAGGCACTAAGCACCCTGCATTGGCAGCTAGTGGGGTTTGAACCACTTGTGCGAAGGACGGCTTAGAGGAAGTTCGGGTCGGAGAACCAGAGATAGGAGCACTGTTAGAGGGCAGTGCTGCTTCGGGAAAGATGAGAGATTGTACCGCAGGGGTAGAAGGGGGAGGAGAGGAGGGGGTGTGGACACTCCGAGATGGTGGAGCATGCGAGTGAAGTCTGTAGATTCGGTTCCAGTCTAAGGGGGTAAACCACCTACTAAACGGCAGTCGCTTCTTCTTCATCTATTTTTGCGAATGTAATTCCCTCAGATATGTTCATTCTAGATTCTATCCTTTATTGTCTAGCCACTCATCCATCTCAACATCTTCATCTCAACTTCACTCATTCTATAGATATGTTGTTTCTTGACTGTTCAACGTTGCGTCCCATAGAGTATGGCTAGTCTTATAGTTGTCCTATAAAACTTCCTCTTCAGTTTCATTGATATGCGTCGATCACATAAAACACCAGAAGCACGTCTTCACTTCACCCATCCATCAGTAATTTTTCGTGCGACATCTTCCTCAATCTCTCCATTCTCATGGATTATCGACTCCAGATATCGAAAATAACCTCTTTCTGTACTTCTTGGCCATCAATCTTGACTACTACCTCGTTTATACTCCTATTATTACTAAACTTCCATTCATATATCCTGTCGTAGTTCGGCTAATTTTAAAACCTTTAGATTCCATAACTTACCTTTAAAGTTCTAACTTTATATTGACGCCGTCTTAGTCTCATCAATCAAAACTATGTCATCTGCGAACAACATGCACTACAATACCTCATCTTGTAGATGCCTAGTTAACTCATCCATAACCAAAAAAAGCGATATAGCCTCAACACTGACCTTTGGTGTAGGCCTATTATCATTGAAACTTGTTTGTCTCTCCATTAGTTGTTCCACACTAGTTAGCGCTCCCTCTTACATATCTCATCATGTTGATAAATACTTTAGAGACTCCTTTCTTTTCCAACACCTACCAAATTAACTCTCTAGGTACTACCCTATCTTATGCTTTCTCTAAATCAATAAAGACCATGTGGAGGTTCTTTTTTTTTCTCCTTCTCCCTAAACTTCTCAGGCTATTTGGCTAAGTAGGAGAATAACCTTAATTGTTGTCCTGCCTGCCGTAAAACCGAACTGATTTTGTGATACACTCGTTTCATGTCTTAGCCGTTGCTCAATCACTCTCTCCCACAACTTCATAGTGTGGCTTGTAAATTTGATCCTTTGATAGTTCGTACAATTCTATATGTATACAAAAAACCCTTCAAATTGGCTCTTACAAATACAAAAATTTAATTCCAAAATTGCTCTTGATTTAAAACAAAATTTTATTTCCAAATTGTATTTTGAGCACCCAATATGTGGGATGCCGTAGGTAGATTCGTCTTCATGTAAATTCCTTTCTTTATCAATACAAAGTTAACATTCTCTTTTTTTTTTTTTTGATGTGTTTTACTAAATCATTAAACGCAATTGAGGTGATTAAAATGGAAAACTTCGAAACTATTTTATTTTATTCTCCTTAAACATCCTTGGGAAACCCTGCAAATATTTCATTAGAAGATTGAGCATGCCATGGGAGTAAAAGTTCCTTTTCTATTAGACACTCCAAGATAACATACATAAATACTACCTGCCCTCAAACTAACCCCATGACTCACAAGTCATCTCATGCAAGGGGTTCATGATTGGCCAATCAAAGCTAGCCAATTAGTAGATATGCCATAAGCGTATCTAGGATTTCAGGTGCTTCCCTTAAGGACAAGTCGTATCCAACGAAAATCGATTATGACTTTTTCCTACCTGCCTTTGATATGAATACATGTACTAAGGAGGCTCTCTCCAGCTCATACATACACTGATCCATGTCTAGGACTTCGAAGTTTGAACTAATACAAGGTCAATTTGAAAGTCATGCATGCACTCCGTGAAGAATGATGATGTCAAGGTTAAGTCCCTTGCCCTTTCTAGCTGTATTCTTCACACAAAGACCTATACATCCTCTGAGTGATAAACCTTAACCACCATTGGACTCGACCAGCCATGATGAGGTATTTTTGAAATCCTCTCCAGCAGATGCATCTTAAACCCAAGCTAGTCTTGTGGTGTGGATAAGACTCTATAAGCCAAGGCCCTGGACCTCACAATCGAGGCAAGAGTCCATAGTGCAGTAAGTTTGCTAGCCTGCTCTAACTCACAAGAGCCTGCTGAATCAAGCCTGTTCCAAAGAGCACTCTCAATATGACATGTCATATATTGCTTTAAATCACATAGAACCCAATACTCCCACTACAACTCGGAATGTTGAAAAGACACGAGTATTCATAAAAAGATGCTCGGCTACAATAGAAAACCAAGAGCTAATGGCCTTTAAATGGCCACAAATCCCAACACGAGATATTTTGGTGATAACTAAGGGCATAATTTGTCAGGGTTGTGATGAACCTTTTACGTTTATCTCATCTCATGGTGGAGCTCAAACAAGGGTTGGAAGTAGGGGAGTGGACTATGAATGAATGTGAAGGTTTGATCCTTCTCACCCTTGTGCCAACACCCACTAAGGTGCGGCTAGGATTTACCAATAAGCATAGGGACGTGGTGCTTAGGACACTAATATAAAACCTGAATAGGAAATGCTATTGAGTATTGATGAATGATAGGATACTGCCATTATTGCAAAGGTGGATGCAAAGGGCTTTACTTTGTTTTTTTTTTGTGTATGAGGTATAGGGTTAGGCATATACGAAGGAAGGAGCAAAAAGCGTTTTCTCTGGAGTACTGGAGAGAGAAGGATTTTTTCGGGTAAACTGAGAGAGAGATTCTCTGGAGTATTGGCGAGAGAAGGGTTTTTCTTGGTGTACTGAGAGAGAGAGAGAGAGAGAGAGAGAGAGAGAGAGAGAGAGAGAGAGAGAGAGAGAGAGAGAGAGAGAGAGAGAGAGAGAGAGAGAGAGAGTAGTAGTAGTAGTAGTACGTAGTACGTACGTACGTACGTAGTAGTACGTAGTAGTACGTAGTACGTACGTAGTAGTACGTAGTAGTAGTAGTA